CTGTACACGGTGGGCCGTAAAAGAGAAGCGGATTGGTGGAGATAGAAAAACATCGTGTTAACATAGATCTGCGGATCAACCTTGACAGAGATCGGAAAACAACTTCTATTTTTGCGTCCGGTATTTATTTGTGCACTTCGAAAAAGATTCTACGCGCTCGTTTCTATTGCAACATTGATGTGCACGAAGGAGTAGTCTGATTCGAGTTTTATTCCTCAATCAAGGTTCAGTCAGCATTCTCGAATTTACTTAGTAAAAACGGACACTTCCAAACTATAACTGTAAAATACAGGGTGTCATGTAACTGGTGGTACAACAATACAATAGATGCTGATTTTGTGGCAAAAAATAAGTCGAAAGTATACGATAAAATTATTTCATGAGGTTTTGTTATCAAGAAAATTGACTTTGAATATTCGCTGGGTACGCCTGCACTTGACCACGTCTCGTTATTGGATCTCATTCTAGATCATTGTCTCGATTGAAGTTTATGTTGATAAAGACTTCCAGCGTCACAAAAAATATTTATCTTACTACCCTACAGTAAGCCTTTCAAGTCTTAGCCGGCTACCCTTAAGCTAAAAGTGCATAGAGGAAAGAGGAATCGACGTACGCTCTACTTATCATAGCGTTGCATATATTACAACAACAGAATGCGTTAGAAAGCGCCCATAGAAATTTCATTATTTCATTTCCTGTTTCATTGCATATTTTTAACTCTTCAATACAGTAAACATTTTCATGACGTTGGTAGTTTTTATCAACATAAACTTCAATCGAAACATTGATCTACAGTGAGAATCAATAACGAGTCACGAACAAATGCACGCGTGCCCGACGAATATTCAAAGCCGATTTTCTCCAAAACAGAGCCTCATATCAAAACATTTTATTGTATATTTTTGACGTATTTCTTGCCACAAAATCAGCCTCTATTCGACTCTACCACCAAGTACATGATATCCTGTATAATCTAACTGAGCATCAGCTTATTTAAACAAGGAAACTCACGGAAAATCTGAACAACGATGTGAAATGTGTGAAAATGTGGTCATAGCTTAAAAATATTCATTTCCGCGTGACTATGTAAAAACTCCTGAGCTACCCCGTTCGACAAACCGCGCGATGCGGAGGTCTCGATCGTAATTTTTTCATTAGTTCCCCTTCCCTCTGTCTCCGTGGCTCGCTTACCAGCCGAATATTCGTATCAGCGGAACAGGGGATCAGATGAAAAAGAGAGCGGCAGCGCACCTCGAAATTACGCGTGGGGGTGAGACCGGGGAGGAAAACGAACGCGCGCTACAGAGAATCTGT